TTTATAACAATATCACTGTCTTAATTGGAAATGAGTAGTAATAGATTAAGGATAGCTAATACCTATCTGTTTGTGCAGTGCTTTTTTTTTAATATTAGCAAGGAATTAATATTGAATGCAGCGTCCATTTAATGCGTTATTTTTAAACTGAAAAATAATAGCTTGTGTAGTAAATTTTTTTTAGACAGACTTTGCTCAAACTTCATACTAAAAATTATTCAAGTTGAAATTTTTCACAAAAAGGTTATTTTTTAAAATAATCGTAGGAAAATTCTAAACAAACATTTTCATCGGATAGTTACATTATGTGTTTTCACCTTTACATAAAAAGAATTCTGTGGAATGCGCAATTTTATTAAATAATAATAAAATATGCAATCCCAGTAGAAATATTTTTAGAAAAATAAAAAATACCCACTATTTTGTAACTATTGGCTTAATTAATTTTTGTTTATTTTATTTTTGATAGGGCGTGACAATCGCCAGAATCCGTCTGATACATGGCTTACGGAACAATTTTTATAAGCTCGACTGATGGTTAGTGTGCATATCGCCACCCATGAGCACCTGCAATGCAAAAAGAGTTATAGGTATTGCCGGCCTTTTAAGAAGGAATGTGCTCTTTGCGTTTTCTTAAAGGTTTCATTATCACATCTGTTCGCAGATACCACTGCTGCGTGTTGCGAAAGAATTTAGAAAAACTCAAGCTAGAAAGTGATAATTATATTTTTAAATAATATTAACAGCAGTTTATAATTATTATTATATTAAATAATAAAAAAATAATTATAAATTATTCGTGCTATATTGCTCTCGTTTGTCAATGGTCAACGTTCAACAAGTTAATTATCAATAATATTAGAGATCATTAGCACGTGAATCATTAACTGGAATTACTTATATGAACATTATGTCATTAAAAATAAATAAATGATAAATATTATTTCGTCATTATATTTGAATAGTATATATGGAACAGTAGACAACAGGATCTTGATTTAATTTGATATAAGTATGTGAATCGGGGTCAATCAATACATTACGAGTATAACAATTTGAAATACTCCGAAAATAATTAAAGATTGTGACCCACAAAAATACCGATCATTTGTGTTGTCAAAACCAGTTATTTTGATCTTAAAATTACTGAACCGATTTTGATAAAATTTCTATGGGACCAATCTGTAAGTATATCCTTATAGATAAAAAAAATCAAATAGGTTTAAAATTTACGGAGTTTTGAGGTAACAAATATAGACAAATACAAAGAAATGAAGAAAGAAATAAATAAATAAATGAAAAGTCTCCTCCTTTTTGATGTCGGTTGAAAAAAACAGTGATGTGATTCAATATGGGAAGAACTATCGATTAATTAAAGAATTATCAAAATTTAAAGAGAGTTAGTAAAGATATTATGTAACGTGTTTACTTATAAAAATATATGAATTGAGAACCTCATTCAAGAACTCTATAACGCGTCTTCGATCGCATCTCTTTTCGATGCAGATATGTAACTTTTTACTGTCAACTGCATTATTTGTACGAGTTGTTGCATAAAAAAGAAAGTATTTGCATTTTGTAAGAATGTAGGTATATTAATATTTTGTTGATGCTTTTTTAATCAGAAATTATTCTACTTATACAATTATCATTACCTGATTACTAGACACACACAGCTACCAATACTTTTTATTACCAATTTATTTACCAATAATTTTTTCTACCAATATTTCGCAAATAAATCAATCATACAAGCTACATGTTGCAACCAAAACATGCTTTGCCTCACTTAATTTGGAGGAACAGCAATGTAAAAATTATGATAACAAACTGTAATTGTATTATTTTGAAAATTCCAAAATGTCCCCAGTCGCCCCTAATTAATTGTAAACTCTTGTGCAGGCTATGAGATCAATGTAAATATCCGTCTCTATTTTAAAATCTAAATGCTTATCTTTCTGGTAAAAAAGCAAAACACATGATGATGAAATATTTTGCTTATTAGGTTGTTGATTTTTTAAGATTTTGTCATTGTCATAGACTGTACATACCATATATCTGTAATATCTAGAAATCTGGACGTTTGACAAAAAATAAATATAAATATTGTAAGACCTATTTATTAGGTGCAAATTGTTTCATCAAATACGAATAAGATGCCGTTGTCTAAATTGATTTATCGCGTAAAAATACGAAAGCACTACACATCTGTGAAACGAGATTTTATGATCTGTGTTGTGTTTGTTTTGTTGGTGATTCGATCAACTTGCTATTTCATTTGTCATTTCTTAGAAGTCACCGTTGTATATATCTATTTGTATATGGCAAAATACAGGTTATATTAAAAGCTGTAATACCTAAATACTGAATTTTTTATGATTTGTATTGTATCATTCATAATACGCGCTCATTTATCTTACTTTATGGGGTTATGGGACGTTATACAGTACAATAATGCATAGAATTCAATAATAGTAATATGTCTCAATCACCACTCATTTCGTTGCCGGGATAGATCAGTATATTACCTGTGAAAACAACTATTCGCTATTTTTGCTCATAGGAGCAACAAATAGGAGCAAAAAAAAAACAATTTCCTATAGAATCTATAGAGATTCTATAGGAAATTGTTTTTTTTTGCGCCATAGCGCAAACAAGAAAAAACTTCAAGTTAAACTTGAAATTAGCTGTTACGAAGAAATATTGTCCCATTCTTATCTTTATAATTAATTCTCAGTGATGTGATATTCCATTTGGTCCCGGCATAGATAGAATCCATTCCATTCTATAAAAGGCAACTAAGGGAACTTAATGGTCGAGAGATGGGCAGCAGCGTTCCGCTTAAAATATCACTAAAAGTCTAATTGCGATTGTCAACCCGCCTACCAAGCGTGGCAACTACTGGCAAAACTCTTATGTAGAAGGCTTATGTTCAGCAGTGGACGGTTAATGGCTGATATGACATGATGATGTGACATTCTGTGATTACATAAATGATGATATAGATTTAATGAAATCCTATAAATACTTATACATAGGGCACGATACCTGCTTACTGAGTAAATAGAGTTCCGGGTTCAATTTCTGTTCGAATCAATTTGAAAAGCGATTTTTAATGACTTGTCTCGCATACGTGTACTCGTACTGAGATATGCCCTCAGATGTTTGTTGTTTGATTCGTAAATCGCTTTTTACTAAGTTTATGTAAATTATTAGTAATTAAAACTGCAGTAGCCAAATCGGTTTAGTCATTACAATTTATAACTATTTTTTAATAAGATAGTAACTTAGTCTATGCTATAATTAGATAGGTACAAATTATTTTAAACCGACATCAAAAAGATTTTTTTTTTAAATTGTTTTTTTTTAATGGATGAAAATGTATTGGTTACCCCGCCCGCGCTATTGGTATACACCGACGAGGCACCAGTGAAAGATGATAGGTGAGAATGAATGCAGGTTAGTTGGCCCACCATGATGATTTCGACAAGAATTAACCATGATGGTTTCCAGGGGTAACCGCGTGGAGGTCAACCTGAGAGGGTATATTGCCAGTAATAGAGCTATTAGACCCCAATACTAACAATCCCTTTCCCCCCTCTTTAAATTGGTTGTATTTTATTTTTATATTTGTTACCTTATAACTCCGTCAGTTATAAACCGATTTGAAAAATTATTATTTTTTTTATTTGAAAGGTTACGTTATATATATTATAATAGGTTATGTTATACAGATTGGTTCCATAGAGATGTTATCAAAATGTATTCGGTAGTTTAGTTTTAAAATCAAAAGAACTAATTATGCCACAATTAAAGAATTTTTTTTGCGGAACACAATTTAAAATTATTTTAGTACAAATAGATACTTCGTGTATATAGTTAAGCCTGACGTCTGATTGTCATTGTAAGAGGTTAAGGGGCATACAAAGTAACTTTCATATTAAACCAATATGAGTATTGAGACCTTTGTTGTTTACATCTATTCATTTTGTCCATTCAGACGACTTTGTGTAAAGTCGTTTCTGTCGTTTGCAGTATTGAAAAAAAAATATAATTAATGTAAGATTTGACACATCGATTTGTATTTTTTCTCGTGCAAAGGACATTTTGTTTGCAGTTTAATAAACTAAAACATTTAATGATTATAGATTTTGATATTATGAATGTAATTTAGTATTCAAAACTTTTTTCTATAAATTCTATAATATTTTGTGATTGAAGTAATTTTCTTTTTTTTTTTACAGTGTAAAAAATTATTTATTGCGCAGGGAAATTTACTTAGGTATATACACACATTTCCGTATTTTAAATTGAAATATACCTAATGTTTTCTATGTAAATATTAAGATCTACGAAATATCTCGTGGTCGTCGCTGGGTGTGTATTATTGATTGAAGTTGATTTTTTTGCGGAGCGATATATATTTGTTTTAAAATCTTTAAAAAATACTTAAGAGTTTAAAATATTTGAACAAATTGTCAATAAGAACAACCATAAATCACTGAGTAGCAACTATATGAATAGAAATAGGTTTTTAAAAGATTTTAGTGGACAGCAAGCTCTCAATTAGGTATTGTTTTATTTTTCTTTGTTACGCGATATTTTTGCTGATTGTGAACCAATTTTTATTATATTAATTTATTTTTTATGAAACAGGTTTATTATTAGTTTGTTCTCATACTTATTTTTTGATACTTATTATAATAAAGACCAATGCGCGTCAGAATACTTTTAAAAATAACTAGAACTGTAGAGATATTCTAAAATAAGTAGTCACATTGCTGTTAAATTAAAATTTAATCAACTATTAATATACACTTTGCGAGTAGGTAACTATTTTTATGAATAGCACAGCTTCTTGGACAATATCTCACAACCTGTGACTCTACGGCGGTCTTTCCACGAGCCAAAGAAAGAGTAAGTCATTAAGTGGACAAACCGCAAGATTCCGTTCTGAAGACTGAATGGGTCACATAATGCCTAACAAATATATGTTTATAGTCATCTAGTCAGTCCTTCATTGGCCGCCGTCATGGTCGGACTGGCCCAGCCAAGATGTGCCACGGTCGAGAAACAAGTTTGAATAAAGAACAACAAAAATGAAACGGTTATGCTGCTGTGTGGTTGTTTTAGGACTATTTGAATTTTTAGTGAATTGCCAATCGCCTTGTCCGGGTATATTTGACTACCGAAATGAAGGTGGTGTTATATACGGGGTGATCATGGTGCCTCCCAGTGGACCAGTATCATCTGTGACCACAAGAGTTAACTTCACTATCGCAGCACGGCTTCCATCTGTAAGTGTTATAAAATCCCTAACTACGACTAGTGTTAATTTTTCAGTACTAGGTATTAATTTTACTCGAATATCAAAGGGGGTTCTCAGTTTGCGTGTATTTTTTTGTGTGTGTATGAAGGTAATTCACCAGCTCTGGCTTTAATTTTACAATTAATTTTGTTATCGACAGGATTTACATTGTATTAATTCTGTGTTGTGTCACAATTAAAAGTGTAGTTTTTTGTGCAGCAAAATCTAAAATTTTTAATGCAACAAATCACTCCATAACACTAGAAACACTATAGAATTATAATTCGAGATAGGTAACCATCTAAATTACTACTGCTGAATTTTAAAATGTTTAAATTTTAAGTTTCTTAGCATTATAAAATGTATTCAGCATATTTTGCAATCACCGGCAATCTATCTTCCTCTCATGTACCGACTTTAGTTCAGATTGGATCTACTAATGAAATATGCGCTCCAAAAAATATCTTGTCACACATATTAAATAGTGAGGACGGGGTACCATACGATGACGCACCCAAAACTAAAAAAAACTTCTGTTTTCCTTAAATTTATTAATAGTGTAATGTTATTACCAGTTACGCCAAATAGTACAGGCACTGAGAAATTAAATCGACAGTTCATCCCGTTTTGGTTCACACACTAATTTTGTTAAGATTTAAGTTTTTTAGAAAAATAGAAAAACCTTTCGGTAAAGCCTCATTTCAATTTACCTGACTTCGAAAAGATTGTATTGTTCATATACACTAGGTACCTATATAAAAAATAACTTGTAGGCACTTGAATTTGTATAAAAAACTATAGGTGTGTCACCTACTAGTGTTACTATGGAAATTCCGAGTGGTATAAATTGGTATTCTTGTTTTAACTACATACTGAATAAAATAAAATATCTTGTTAAATTAAATGGTAAACCACACAAAATGATTTATAGCTACGTGACATAATAGGCAGATGGACTTATTGGGTTGTTAATGTAAGGTATGTATGAAGTTAACCAGGTACCAAAAAATATCCATAGATTATTATTATTTTTTTATACCACTGAGGTGGCAAACAAGCATACGGCCCACCTGATGGTAAGTGATTACCGTAGCCTATGAACACCTGCAATACCAGAAGTATTACGCGTGCGTTGGCGACCCTGAAGAAACCTCTTTACCCACCTTTTGAAGAACCCCATGCTGTAGTCTCTTGGAAAAACCTCGGCAGGGAGCTCATTCTACAACCTGAGTGTTATTGTTTGAAATTGTTTATTATGAAAATAAAAATCGTCTCCATTGCAAGGTATTCATGAATTCAGAGTTAGTTGTCTTCTTCGATTATCTCTCTGAATAAAATACCTAGCTTTAATTAGTAGTTTGTATCTATTAGATAACTAATTGTAGTAATTCAATAATGTTAATTACTATGTAATCGATTCACTGACCGAGTTATTAATAATGAACTTATTTTGTTAAAATTTTGTTTAGTATATGATAATGTAGGGCAATTGCGAGGTCTTTATGAATTCAGATCAGTTGGCCAATCCCCCAGTTGGACAGTTCACCAGGAATCAATCACGATGGCTTCCAAGCGGGACCTCGTAGATCAATGGGCCTTTACAAACAACCCCCTAAACTCCACATAGTCATACTTGTACCCACATAATATAGGGTGCGTTAATACATTTTTCCCAGTAATTATTAATGATCGTATGTAGCTACCGTTAAGTTAAAGGAATATGCATAAAAATTTAAAATATGAAGCACTGCCCTAACAATGAATTGGGAGAAGGTATTGTTAGTAAAATGGTCTAATAGCCCCATTTATGAAGCACTATGCTAGCAATTAACTTTTTCAGTTCCACCTCCACGCCGATTCACTCAGGAAACCATCGTGGTTAATTCTCGTGAAATTCTTCACGATGGGCTAACTGACCTGCTTTTATTTTTACTTATCATTTCTCACTGGTGCTTCGCCAGTGTATACCGATAGGACAGGCGAAATTACTATTTCATTTTCACCCATGAAATACAAAACAATAAATGGAACATTCAGAACACCAGACTCTCCCATAGACGGCCATAAGGAACGGTCCTGAGCCACCTGAATCCACAAAAAGAAATATAGACCAAAATATTCCAATAAAATTATTATTAATTTATTTAAATATAAATATAAATATAAATATTTATTGTTTTGGTTTTATTTTGTAGTTTTTCCTTATCGTCCTTGTATTCCGCAATCTAATTAATATTAGCACTAAAGTATACATTTTTTATAGAAATATTGTCATAAAGATAATATTAGGTAAACTCGATAAAGAATATGTACGAGCAGGTATCATTTTTTATATTTAAAAAAAAGTGGTCAGGTGCGAGTTGAACCCACACGCCGAGAGTTCCGTACAGTATGCACAATATATATGACATAAATATATCTCTATTGTATTTTTAATACGACATAGACATCTAATAGTTGTTATTATTGACACAACAATTTGTAATTCCTTATCGGTCTTAGAGTCCACTAACAAATTTTTTTTATACAACTTAGAATGGCAAACCAGCTAATGGCCCACCTGATGGCAAGTGGTAAGGGTAGGCTATAATCATAAGCAGTACCATGGACATAACAGAGTATACTATTTCGTCCATGATACCCCCCATACGTTCCTGAGGACTCAGGTGTTATTCCTCTGTACCCAGTAAATTCACGCCATATCCCACCCTTCAAACCGAAACACAGCCATACAAACACAACTGCTTCACGGTTGAAACACGAATGGGACAGAGGTACCCAAGCAATCGACTTTTGTACAAAGTCTCCCTCTGGTACGTATTAGTTCGTGGGCTACTATTAGTTACAATAGTAGGAATTTAATAATGTTAATTACTATGTAATCGATTCACCGACTGGGTTATTAATAATGAGCTGGTTATGTTAAAAATTTTCCTAAAGGGTCTAATACATGACAATGGAATGGTAACCCCGCCCGCTCTAAAGGCATACCCTGGTGGAGCATTAGTGAGAATGAAGTAGATAGGCCTATCCTGACGAATTCAACAATCAATCAATCACGATAGTTTCCAAGGGGAACCGCGTGGAGGTCGACCTAATAGACATCGTATTGCTAGCAATGAGTTTGTTAAGCCCAATTAGTAACAGTGCACCCGATGAAACCAAGTTAGTCCATCGTGATAAATTTAAGATTCAACTACGACGATTTCCAGGGGGCACCACGTCCCATCAGGGTATGTTAGAAATGAGTTAGAAATAGTCTTTCCCCCCTAATAATAAGGTCACAAAAGGTACATTATCGGGGTCTAGGATATACATATATTTACATATTATAGGGGACAGATGTCCCATTGTTAACAATATACCTTATGAGATTGATCTTCACACGGTTCCCCCTGGAAACCATTATGGTTATCTATTGTTAAATTTATTACAGGTCAGTAGGTCCTACTGACCTGCTGCATTCTCACCTATCATCTCTCACTGGAGGGAAAAGGATTGTTGATAATAGAGTCCAAAAATCCTATTACTAGCAATAACCCTATTTTTTTGGGGGGAAAGGGATTGTTAGTAATGGAGACTGAGAATCCTATTGCTAGCAATATACCCAACCAGGTCGACCTCCTCGCGGTTCTCCCTGGAAACTATCATGGTTAATTCCTGATGAATTCATCATGATGGGCTAACTGGCCTGTTTTCATTCTCATCTATCACCCTTCACTGGTGCTCCGCCAGCGTATTCCGTTATCGCAGGCGGGCTTACCATGCCATTTTCACCCATAAAAAAAACCCTATTTTTTTAACGGATGAATAGATGATAATGGAATGGTCACCCCGCCTGCGCTAATCGTATACGCTGGCGGGGTACCAGTGAGAGACGATAAGTGTAAATGAAAAGGCACGTCAGTTAGCCTATCGTGATAAATACACCTGGAATTCAGCACGATGGTTTCCAGGGGGGAACGTGGGGAGGTCGACCTGACAGGGTAAATACTAACCATAGAACTCGTTCAGCGTATACCGTGAGCGCATGCGGGGTTACCATGCCATTATCACCCATAAAAAAACCATGGAACTGGCAATCTGCATTACTAGCAATTCTTCCCCCCCCCCCCCCACCCCCCGCAATAACCCTATTAGGTCGTCCTCCACGCAGTTCTCTCAGGAAATTGGTCGAATTTGTCACGATCACCTATCATTTCCACACTGGTGTCCCTGCGTATCCGATAGCGCAGCCGGGATAACCATTCCATTATTATCTATTTCCATTTTCACCTATTAAAAAATATGTAATTATTAATACTCGTAGCATATTCCTTACACATTTGGGGTTATACTGAAAGTACAACGCAAGAACAACGTACAAAATTATTTACGCCAAGAATGCAGTCGCAAAAATATCGCATACCTAAATATATATTCGTGTATTTATTCTAAACAAGAAGTACCTTATGTTTGCTCCACAAAAAACTACTTTTTTATTTTTATTTGTATAAAACTAATAAAACGCTTATTTGAAGTTTAAATAGACACTAGGTTTTTTTTTTAATGGATGGTAATGAAACGGTTGCCCTGCCTGAATTAACGGTATACACTAGTGAGGCACCACTGAGGGATAATAGGTGAGGATGTAAGCCAATTGGCCTATCGTGAAGAATTCACCAGGAATTAGTTACGATAGTTTTTTTTTTTTTAAATAAGTAATTTCTGTCGCTATCTTTGAGGCGACAACTTTCCAATCTTTTTGTATTTATATCTGTGAAATTGTAACTGAGTTTTTTTTTATTATATTACATTATGTACATTAACTATAGTAAAGTCCATGTTATGTAATCAATCCATGTATTTAGTGCCATTCTCCTTTCCTATTACTTTAAATATCATTTTAGCGAATTTTATTAAATGCAAGCTGCTGGAATCATCTTCAAATATATTCTTTAAGTTATATTGTTATATTAATGTTTGTGCTAAATTCAAAGTTAAATCTTT